GGCATGGAATGTTTGCACATTTCCAGGGGCTGAGGTCACAGCTGCTTCTCCCCTAGAAACCTGGCCAGATTTCTTTTAACTTGGGAAAGGATGGGCAAGCCAAGCATTTAGTTGTTTGGGGTTGGGGGCAAGTGAAGTAATTCACTCTCATAATTAACTGTCTGCTAAGGGGACGCGGGTGGCGCTGTGGTCTAAACCACAGAGCCTAGGGCTTGCCGATCAGAAGGTCGGTGGTTCGAATCCCCGTGACGGGGTGAGCTCCCGTTGCTCGGTCCCTGCTCCTGCCAACCTAGCAGCTCAAAAGCACGTCAAAGTGCAAGTAGATAAATAGGTACCGCTCCGGAGGGAAGGTAAACGGCGTATCCGTGAGCTGCTCTGGTTTACCACTTAGTCACGCTGGCCACATGACCTGGAAGCTATACGCTGGCTCCCTCGGCCAGTAAAGTCAGGAGTCCCTTTACCTTTTTTTAAGAGAAGTAGGTGGGGGGGAATTGGTAATGGAAAGGCAGAGGGAGAAGTCAAAGAATTCTGGAAATGCTAAATGATGAGATGGAAGATTTGTTTGAATTTAAATTTGTTATGTAAAACTTCATAAAAATATAAAGGTAAAGGTACCCCTGCCCGTACGGGCCAGTCATGTCCGACTCTAGGGTTGCGTGCTCATCTCGCTCTAGAGGCCGTGAGCCGGCGCCGTCCGAAGACACTTCCGGGTCACGTGGCCAGCGTGACGAAGCTGCAGCTGGCGAGCCAGCACCAGCGCAGCACACGGAAATGCCGTTTACCTTCCCGGTATAAAGCGGTACCTATTTATCTACTTGCACTTTGACATGCTTTCGAACTGCTAGGTGGGCAGGCGCTGGGACCGAACGACGGGAGCTCACCCCGCCACGGGGATTCGAACCGCCGACCATACGATCAGCAAGTCCAAGGCACTGAGGTTTTACCCACAGCGCCACCCGCGTCCCTTCATAAAAATATATTAAGAAGGAAAAGATCGGCCTTGCCTTTGGAACCCGGGTGCTCTCTTTTTCTAAGCCCAAAGGAGGCCTCACATCCATCTCTCTGCCCTGAAAGTGATCAATCTGCCGCAAGAGAACAGAGGGGATTTCAGAGGCTGCCAAGCTTCTAACACCAGCATGAGAGACAAACCAGGACAAGAACTTGCAAAGGGGTGAAAACGAACATGGCGACTATAGGCGAGATTTGAGACGGTGGTGCAATAAGGTTTGCCTTGCGTCAGGCTTTTGCACAGCTGCCGCTCTGGCCAGGGGCAAGACCTCTCCCAGTGGATTCATGCCAAGAGCAGAGAGCCATTGACGTACATTGCACTATTCTATTTTCCCCCCACAGTAGAGCGTAACTGACGGCACAGAAACAAAGTTGACGCATATGTGGCTGAGCATTCCACATTGCGTCCAGGTCAATGCCGGATTTACGCATAAGCTAAACAAGCTAGAGCTTAGGGCCCCAGTCTCTTGGGGGCATCAAATTTTTTTAAAGGAAAATCAAACTGGATGTACATTTCCAAAAAAGGGAAAGGTAAAGGTCCAGTCGTGGACGACTCTGGGGTTGCGGCGCTCATCTCGCTTTACTGGCCGAGGGAGCCGGTGTACAGCTTCCGGGTCATGTGGCCAGCATGGCTAAGCCGCTTCTGGCGAACCAGAGCAGCGCACGGAAACGCCGTTTACCTTCCCGCCGGAGCGGTACCTATTTATCTACTTGCACTTTGACGTGCTTTCGAACTGCTAGCTTGGCAGGAGCTGGGACCAAGTGACGGGAGCTCACCCTGTTGCGGGGATTCGAACCGCCGACCTTCTGATCAGCAAGTCCTAGGCTCTGTGGTTTAACCCACAGCGCCACCCACATCCCACATTTCCAAAATATAAGATAAAAAAACAAATAAGATAAAATAAAACCTACATCAACAGTGCTTTGTGCTGTGTAGGCTCCAATTTGTTATGTGCAAATGGCTTGAGACGCCTATGAGGTCCATAAATTACCATACAGCATATATTCAACACACAAAAACAGGGACAATTTGTTGTTGACAGAGGACAGCTGGGCATATAAAGGGACCCATTACCTTCAGTAGCTTAGGGCCTCATCAAACCTAAATTTGGTCCTGATCCAGGTGTTTCTAACTGCTGGCCCAAGGCTTCACCTGAAATTTTTGCAACCACAGCTTTCTGCTATGACCATTATATGCCTGGGAAGTTGGCCTTTTCAGGTTTTTTTGTTCGGCTTTTGGTCATTAAAAAAAAAAAATTAGTTTTTCAGATTTTAAAAATTGACAGACAGCCAACATAGAGATTTCTGAAGAATCTCATGAACTTCCCTCCTCCCCTCTGTGGGTCTATAAGGACCTTTTCCTCTCGAATCTTGTCTATTAATCCAAATCTATGAAATCTCCATTACACCCAAAATTTAACATTAAGCTACAAGTGTTATTCCAATCCTACTAATAGTTTTTAATTTATTGCAATGGTTTTTAAGGTAAATTCTATATTTTCCCCATTCCTTATTTTTTAAAAAAATTGGTCCGCCTGATTTCTGATTCTTCCGGTCGTTTTTGCCAAATCGATTAGGATTAGGGATACTGGAGTAAAGTCTTCAGGAAGAATACATGCACTGGGCAAAATATTGTACACAAATGCATTATATTACAGGACACATTTAAAGGCTCTGAGAACATTCAGATGCTGCCTTCTACCAGATCAGACCAACTCAGTACTGTCTGTGCACCATGGGTAGGCAACCTAACGCCCAGGGGCCGGATCCGGCCCAATTGCCTTCTAACTCCAGCCCACGGACAGTCCGGGAATCAGTGTGTTTTTACATGAGTATAATGTGCCCTTTAGGGACACGAGTGGCGCTGTGGGTAAAAGCCTCAGCACCTAGGGCTTGCCGATCGAAAGGTCGGCGGTTCGAATCCCCGCAGCGGGGTGCGCTCCCGTAGTTCGGTTCCAGCGCCTGCCAACCTAGCAGTTCGAAAGCACCCCCGTGTGCAAGTAGATAAATAGGGACCGCTTTATAGCGGGAAGGTAAACGGCGTTCCGTGTGATGCGCTGGCTTGCCAGATGCAGCGATGTCACGCTGGCCACGTGACCCGGAAGTGTCTCCGGACAGCGCTGGCCCCCGGCCTCTTAAGTGAGATGGGCGCACAACCCTAGAGTCTGTCAAGACTGGCCCGTACGGGCAGGGGTACCTTTACCTTTTAATGTGCCCTTTAATTTATAATGCATCTCTGGGTTATTTGTGGGGCAAAAGAATTCGTTCATTATTTTTTCCAGAATATAGTCCGGCCCCCCACAAGGTCTGAGGGACAGTGGACCAGCCCCCTGCTGAAAAAGTTTGCTGACCCCTGGTCTACACCATGGGTAGGCAAACTAAGGCCCGGCGGCCGGATCCGGCCCTATTGCCTTCTAATTCCGGCCCGCGGACAGTCCGGGAATCAGCATGTTTTACACGAGTAGAATGTGTGCTTTGATTTAAAATGCATCTCTGGGTTATTTGTGGGGCCTGCCTGGTGTTTTTACATGAATAAGATGTGTCCTTTTATTTAAAATGCATCTCCGGGTTATTTGTGTGGCATAGGAATTCATTCATAATTTTTTCCCCAAAATATAATCCAGCCCCCCACAAGGTCTGAGGGGCAGGGGACAGGCCCCCTGCTGAAAAAGTTTGCTGACCCCTGGCCTACACTGACTGGCAGCAGCTCCTCAGGCTTTTAGGCAGGGAACTGGAGGTGAGGAGGACAGAATTGACCCTGGAGGCTCCTCCCTGTTCAGAAGATGCTCAAACACAGCTACTTTCTCCACTGAGAGGGCTCAGCAACCTCGCTGGAGATCTGGCATCCTCTAGTGGAACATCCCTTCAAAAACATTCCCGTTTCCTTGTGGAGTCCACAACAGCCCGTTTGCAACCTGATTGTGGAGGCACTCTGTTATAAGGGGGAGGGCTGCTCCTTTTCCCTTATGGGGTACCCAAGAGCCCATATATGACACAACCCTGATGGCAGAAAGTGAGGCGGAATTAAAGAACCTTCTAATGAGGGTGAAAGAGGAGAGCGCAAAATATGGTCTGAAGCTCAACATCAAAAAAACGAAGATCATGGCCACTGGGCCCATCACCTCCTGGCAAATAGAAGGGGGAGAAATGGAGGCAGTGAGAGATTTTACTTTCTTGGGCTCCATGATCACTGCAGATGGTGACAGCAGCCACGAAATTAAAAGACGCCTGCTTCGTTTACCTTCCCGCCAGAGCGGTACCTGTTTATCTACTTGCACTTTGACGTGGTTTCGAACTGCTAGGTTGGCAGGAGCAGGGACCGAGCAACGGGAGCTCACCCCATCGCGGGGATTTGAACCGCCGACCTTCTGATCGGCAAGCCCTAGGCTCTGTGGTTTAACCCACAGCACCACCCGCGTCCCATTTGGTACATTTATGAACATCTATTATATATATCTCCTGCCAACCTAGCAGTTCGAAACCACGTCAAAGTGCAAGTAGATAAATAGGTATCGCTCCAGCAGGAAGGTAAACGGCGTTTCTGTGCGCTGCTCTGGTTCGCCAGAAGCGGCTTAGTCATGCTGGCCACATGACCTAGAAGCTGTACGCCTGCTCCCTCGGCCAATAAAGCGAGATGAGCGCGCACGACTGGACCTAATGGTCAGGGGTCCCTTTACCTTTACCTATTATATATATATAAGACCTTAAAATTCTTATAACAAGCCTCTCCTCATCCCTCTCTCTACCTGCTTTGGACAGTAATGTGGGGTCTCAGGAAAATCCACAGGGGCCTGTTCTTATGCAAGGTAATTCTGAAAAGAGGAATGCTACCCCCGCGAGTTAGCAGATAACCTCTGCCACACTTTTGAGGCTGCAGGGCTGCAAAATAAGGCGGATGGACTCTGTCAGTACTAAGCCGTCCCCTCTCCAATGCGCATTTTGCAGCAGTTGCATTCTGCAGAGGGTTCCAGACAAAGTAACAGTGCACCAAGGTGGATTGATTCTGCTTTATTGGTGGCTCTGCGATGCTTCCCTGAAGCTGCACCACATGCTTGCTAAAGCACAACATCTGCAGAACGAAGCGTTACAGGGTTTCAGCAGGAGGTTACAGAATGTGCCCCAGCGGGGGTGAAGCGGTGTGGCCGCCCCCGAACTTTTGCAGTTACGAAACAGCGCGGAAAGCAGGACTTGTGTGTGACAGCCCCGGCAGCATCCCATGCACAAATCATCGTAAATGTTCAATCCAAAAGTCACCTGGAAATATCCCTGCACGTAGCCACATCAGTCCTAAGCGTGTGATTTCTTAACAATGACCACCACCACCCCTCGATTCACAGTTTATATCTGAAATTCCCAGAGCTTCGGCTGGTAAGAGAAGCTGCAACTGTTGTGACCCTAATCACCTCCTCCTAAACATGAACACAAACCAAGAATCCTGCGATTATTATTATTATTATTATTATTAAAAAAGCAAAAATGGCTTCTGATACAAAGAATAATAATAGGAAAGAAAATGTACCACGAGGCTACTTCAAAACGATAAAGGATAAAAGATTCAGATCCTGGAAAAAGATTTAAAATGTTTGGATCTCTCTACCTAGGCAGATGTTTGTTACTACAAACACTGGCCTTTAGGGAAGGAAGGTCTCATAACCTACTTTTCGCTGCCCGCAACCCAGAGACACCCTGATATTTGTGAAGTGAAGCTCCCTCCGATATCCGGAACACAAGCCATGTGGTTTCTAAATGCAGCCTTGGTCCCAGAAAACCTGCCACGAGGCCTCTAGCAAAAAAGACCCACAGGGTGAATGGGGCGTCATGCTCTGCCCTGGAATGGCTGATTTAGCGAGGCAAAAACCGTCTCTCGCACATCACATCTGCACCACAATCTCCCATAATCTGGGCACCATAATGTCCCATAATCTGGGCAGCAGTCTCTCCGCACTCAGAAGCCCAGCGAGCAAACGGAAACAAGACTTTTGGGCTTCAAAGTTTGCCGTCGGAACCTCATTCGGGGGAAGAGAATGCCGACGTCCCGCTCTCTTCAAACCCTCAAGAAGGCCGGCGGATCCTCAGGCCGAAAAAGGGCAGAACGGAAAGCCCCGGGGCAAGACAGGATATTTTTAACAAGCACAAAGTTCCAGCTTCAGGCTACAAGTCCCGAGCACTCAGGGATGTCGCCCGCCATGGGTCCCAGCAGGAGCGCTGCATCATGGGATACGTAGTCCAGGAAGCACGCCACACCGGTGATTAAATAAGGAGCCATAGGTCAAAGAGTCGTTGGGACGCTGGGCCAGGAGGCTGGGTGAGGGGGCGCAGCCCTCGAACCCACGGCCGAGACGGATCTGCTCCCGTCTCCTCACCCCGCCCCAGGAGGGGAGGGCGCTAGCGGATGCCGCAGTCCCCTTCGCCGCCCCGCAGCTTCTCCAGCTCGATGGAGCGCACCAGCTCTTGCACGAACTTCATCTCGGACGCCAGCTGCTTGGCCAGGGCCTCGTAGCGGTTCTCCAGCTTCCGGTAGCGCCGTTTCAGCCCGTTGGCGGCCAGCGAGGCGCTCCGGGCCTCCTCCTGCGCCTGGCGCTTGAGGGCCTCCGTCTTCTGCATCTCCTGGCGGATCTGCCGCAGGTCCTGGCCCACGGCCTCGTTCTCCTCCTTGTACCACAGCTCCTTCTCCTCGTAGATGGAGCGCAGGGCCTCGATGTCTTCGCGGAAGGACTTCTTGCTCCGCTGAAGCTCGCGGAGGCCCTCCTCGGCTGCCGCCACCTCCTCCATCACCTTGGAGAAGCGCTCAAAGTTGACGTAGGTGTTGTTGGGCGGCATGCTGGAGTGGGACTTGATGGTGTACTCCTTCAGGCGGGTCGTCTTGAGGCGGCGGCGCTCGGGCTTCTTGCCGTTGTCCTCGTTGCGGACGTTCCGGCGCTTGATCACCTGCAAAGGGTCAGCGGGGACACGCTCAGAAAAGAGGCTCAGGCAGTTGCTTCTCTTCCCCCCCCCCCGCCATCCCCATTCCAGGGGGTCAGTCTAGAGAAGGGGTCCCCAAACTAAGGTTCACAAGGGACTCATTTATCCGGCCTGCGGCGACCCCCGCCGCCCGCTCTTACCAGCGCTGCACAGCTGCCCACTTCCGGGTTGGAGGAGCACCGGAAATACCGTATTTTTCACTCTATAAGACGCACATTTCCCCCTCCAAAAATGAAGGGGAAATGTGTGTACGTCTTATGGAGCGAATGCAGGCTCCTTGGCCTCAGCGATAGTAACGCGAAGCCTCCGAAGCGCAGTGGGAGTGCTCCTGCTGCGCTCCGGAGGCTTCGGGTTGCCTTCACTGAAGCCTGGAGAGCGAGAAGGGTCGGTGCGCACCGACCCCTCTCGCTCTCCGGGCTTCAAAGATAGCTGCCTGAAGCCTCCGGAGCACAGCGGGAGCTCCTGCCGCACTCTGGAGGCTTCGGGTTCCTTTCGCTGAAGGGTAGGTGCCCCTTCAGCTAAGGCGCAGCGCCCCTTCAGCCAAGCGGGAGGAGAAATGGAAGGGGCTCCGTTTCTCCTGCCGCTTTGCTGAAGGGGCGCTGCGCAGAGAGGGGGAGATTTTTTTTCTCTTGTTCTCCCCCTCTAAAACAAGGTGTGTCCTATGGTCAGGTGCGTCCTATAGAGCGAAAAATACGGTAACTTGTGCGCATGCACAAGCGTTATTTGAGCATGCGCAAGCGTTAGTTCCTGTGCACCTCCGGGTCAGAGGAGGCCCGTGCACATGTGCACAAGCTATTTCCGGTGCTCCTCCGACCCGGAAGCGCGCACATATGGGCACGCGCTCCTCCAGCATGGAGACACCGGCCCAAGGCGCAGTAAGTTTGCTGACCCCTGGCCTAGGGGACCCACAGAGTCTCTCCCCACTCAGCAACACTACCCATCCTTTTCATCTGAGACCAAAAGTTTCTTTCTTTTAAATCTTTACACATCTATTTACTTGGGGTTTGGGCTGGGGGTTCATCAGTATGCGGACGATACCCAGCACTACCTCTGTTTTAAATTGGAACCAGTGAAGGCAGTGAATGTCTTGTGTGAGTGTCTGGAGGCGGTTGGAGGATGGATGGCGGCTAATGGATTGAGGTTAAATCCTGATGAGACAGAAGTACTGTATTGGGGGGGACAGGGGGCGGGCAGGTGTGGAGGACTCCCTGGTCCTGAATGGGGTAGCTGTGCCCCCGAAGGACCAGGTGCGCAACCTGGAAGTCATTTTGGACTCACAGCTGTCCATGGAGGCACAGGTCAATTCTGTGTCCAGGGCAGCTGTCTACCAGCTCCATCTGGTATGCAGGATGAGACCCTCCCTGCCCGTGGACTGTCTTACCAGAGTGGTGCATGCCCTGGTTATCTCCTGCTTGGACTACTGCAATGCGCTCCACGTAGGGCTACCTTTGAAGGTGACCAAGAAACTACAGCTAATCCAGAATGCGGCAGCTAGACTTGTGACTGGGAGTGGCCCCTGAAACCACATAACACCAGTCCTGAAAGACCTACATTGGCTCCAAGGACATTTCCAAGCACGAAATGTTGGTGCTGAAATTTAAAGCCCTAAACAGCCTTGGCCCAGTATACCTGCAGGAACGTCTCCACCCACATTGTTCTGCCCCAACACTGAGGTCCAGCTCCGAGGGCCTTCTGGCACTTCCCTCCCTGCGAGAAGTGAGGTTACAGGGAACCAGGCAGAGGGCCTTCTCGGTGGTGGCACCCACCCTGTGGAACGCCCTCCCATCAGATGTCAAGGAAACAAATAACTATCTGACTTTTAGAAGACATCTGAAGACAGTCCTTTTTAGGAACGTTTTTAATGTTTGATGTTTTCTCCTGTTTTTAATATTCTGTTGGCAGCTGCCTAGAGTGGCTGGGGATGGGCCAGATGGGCGGGGTATAAATAATAAATTCTTATTCTTGTTCTTAATACAATCCTTTTTTCTGAGACCAAAAGTTTCTTTCTTTTAAATTTGTACACGTCTGTCTACCTATCAAATCTATTCTTCCAGGTGCCATAAGAAAGCTGCAGAGATAGCGCAGGATAGTGCGCACCCCGGAAATGATCTCTTTCAGCTTCTGCCTTCTGGAAGAAGGTACAGGGTTATACAGTGGTGCCCCGCAAGACGAATGCCTCGCAAGACGAAAAACTCGCTAGATGAAAGGGTTTTCCGTTTTTTGAGTCGTTCCGCAAGACGAATTTCCCTATGGGCTTGCTTCTCAAGATGAAACGTCTTGCGAGTTCTTGCGAGTTTGTTTCCTTTTTCTTAAAGCCGCTAAGCCGTTCATAGCCGCTAAGCCGCTAATAGTCGTGCTTCGCAAGACGAAAAAACCGCAAGACGAAGAGACTCGCGGAACGGATTAATTTCGTCTTGCGAGGCACCACTGTAAAGACTAGGACTAGCCGCCCGAGAAACAGTTTCTATCCAAATGCGATTTTGGTTTTAAACGCAGTGTAAGGTAGTCTCTGTGGGAGTATATTGTATTCAATTATGGGGTATCAGAGTTTTTAGGGGGCTAACCAGGCTGGGATAACAGGCTTGATGGTTTTTGAATGTCTGATGTAGATTTTTCCAATTTCGTTGTTCTGTATGGGACAACGACAATAAAGATTATCGTATCGTAACCTAACAAAAGGGGAAGGGAGGGGAAGCACCGCGGACCCCTCCAGTCACCTTGCAGCCCCCGGTTCAAAACAAAAGACAAAGTCAGTGAGGAGGATTCTAGAATCCTTTTTGAACCTGCAGGTCACAGTCAGGGTGAGCTTGTCAAGATGAATGTGCCCTTCTTCTGCCACCACCGCCAACCCATGTGCTCCAGCCCCTTTCACCATCCTTCTCCAGCAGTGCCATCTAGCAGTGAAGGCCGCTTACTGGGCGATTTCGTTTCCCAAGGTGGCAGGCAGCTCAATCCCCGTCTCCTGAACTTGCCGGCTCCCATCTTCTCCCCAAACTGCTCTCCTCAACATCCCCTTCTTCCTCTGCTTAGTGGCTTAGATCGTAAGGCTTTGCTACCGATCTTACAAATCTGGAAGCCCACCTGGTTCAAGAGCGGGTGAGAAAAATATAGCTTAGGAACCGCAAGCCAACATTCTGAAACGTCTCGGTTTTTACCTTAATCCACGGGTGCTCCAGGCTCTGGTCGATCGTCATCCGCTTCCTGAAACAGAACGGGGAGCAGAGGTCAGTTAATAATAATAATAATAATAATAATAATAATAATAATAATAATAATAATAATAATAATAATATAATTATTTATACTCCGCCCTCCCCGGCCAGAGGCGGGCTCAGGGCGGCTAACGGTAAAATTACAGTAAAAACATAAGGGGGAGGGGATACCACTTTAAAATACAGGTTAAAATGCAATTTAAAATGCAGTTCTGAATTCACTCCACAAATATCTCAACAATAAAACATCATTGTTTGACTTCCATCGCTTCCATCGAGTGAATTTGGAGGGAATTCTTCCAATTTTTCTTCTTTTTGCAATTTTTCCTTTTCTCTTTTTTGTTCTTTTTTTAAATGTGTGTGCTTATCTGAAAAAATATGTATGTCTGTATTTGTATGTATTTTGCTTGTATTTTGTAATAATTACGCTTCAAAGTTGACCAGCCGGGTAGGGGAAGAGGCGAACGCGAGGCTGCGAAAGTCCCCTATCCCTGTTCTATGCTTTTAGAAGCTGCACGAGGCGGCAACGCATGAGCAAGTACAAGCTAAACAGGTTTTGCGCATAGGTGTCTCATGCTGCCTAGTTTATTCTACTTTCTCCGAGGCTTCGGAGGCCTTGAACAAATGTAGGTCAACAGGAAAATATATATTTGCCTTGGGAAAATACCCTTTTCTCTCATTGTTGTCGTTTAGGAACATCTGGCCTGGCAAAGACATCTGTGCAGCCTGGCAAAGAGATCTACATTGGCTCCCAGGACGTTTCCGAGCACAATTCAAAGTGTTGGTGTTGACCTTTAAAGCTCTAAACGGCCTGAAGAAGCGTCTCCACCCCCATCGTTCTGCCCAGACATTTAGGTCCAGCTCTGGTCCAGCTCTGAGGGCCTTCTTTGCTGTGAGAAACCAAGTTACAGGGAACCAGGCAGAGGGCCTTCTTGGTGGTGGCACCCGCCCTGTGCAATGCCCCCCCACCAGATGTCAAAGAGAAAAATAACTACCAAACTTTTAGAAGACATCTAAAGGCAGCCCTGTTTAGGGAAGCTTTTAATGTTTAATAAGGTAAAGGTACCCCTGCCCGTACGGGCCAGTCTTGACAGACTCTAGGGTTGTGCGCCCATCTCACTTAAGAGGCCGGGGGCCAGCGCTGTCCAGAGACACTTCCGGGTCACGTGGCCAGCGTGACAAAGCTGCATCTGGCGAGCCAGCGCAGCACACGGAAACGCCGTTTACCTTCCTGCCAGTAAGCGGTACCTTTTTGTCTACTTGCACTTTGACGTGCTTTCGAACTGCTAGGTTGGCAGGCGCTGGGACCGAGCAACGGGAGCTCACCCCGCCGCGGGGATTCGAACCGCCAACCTTTCGATCGGCAAGCCCTAGGCGCTGAGGCTTTTACCCACAGCGCCACCCGCGTCCCACAGTTTAATGTTTAATAGGTTCTTGTATTTTAGTGTTTTGTTGGAAGCCGCGCAGCGTGGCTGGGGGGACCCAGAAAGATGGGCGGGGTATAAATAATAAATTATTGTTATTATTATTATGCCAAAGCTTGCGCCGAGCGCATTAGCGTCGCGCTGAGAGAGACCGAGCTATGAATCACGAGGTTCCGCATTCAAATCTCACCGCTGCCATGAACTTTGAGAGGGTTGGGGGTAGGCTACATGCAGCGATGGACAAATGTGGCCCTCCAGCTGTTTGGGGACTACAACTCCCATCATCCCTAGCTAACAGGTCAGGGATGATGGGAACTGTAGTCCCAAAACAGACACCCATAACCCATCACCCGCGTTTCGTACTTGGGATCCTTGACGAGCAGCCGCCGAATGAAGTCCTTTGCCAGTTCGCTGGTGTTGCTAAAGTACTCCTCGTCAAAGTCATAGTTGACAGCAGAAATGTTGGTCAAAGTTTCCTGCTTCGTTTCGCCCAAGAACGGAGAGGCGCCGCTTAAGCTGCGAGGGCAAAAGGATAAAAAACAGCTTTATTTAGGCGTTTTGTAAGAACTAACCAAACAATTTAAACCAGGCATGTCCAAAGCCTGTTTCAGGGGCCTAATCCAGTCCATTTAATCCAATCCCCATGGCAGTATATGTCCTGGGGTAAAATCCTTAAAAATCTCAGCAAATCTTCAATCCTTAAAAAAAAAAACCAACTCAACAACTTTGGGGTAAAATTGTAAAAAGAGCTCAACAACTTTGGTCGGCCCTCACGCGTGTTCACTTCCTCAAATCTGGTCCTCTTTGGAAAAAGCTTGGGCACCCCTGATTTAAAACATCAATAAAAATCCACAGATTTTTTTTTTTAAATAATTTTTAAAGCAGGAATCCAAGTAGACGAAGAACATACCATACTCTGGAATCGAAAGCTAGCAAAAGTCTGGGAGGGTTAAGTACATAAGGAGGTAGAATCATAGAATTGTACAGTTGCAAGGGAACCCCAAAGGTCCTCTAGACCAACCCCCTGCCAAGCAGGGAGCACGGATAAAGCATCCCTGACAGGGGTCCAGCCAATGTCTCTTTAAAAGCTCTGATGGAAAAAACACCATCCACAAGCAGGATTCGAACACATAGCCACTCTCCCATCCCATCCAGAAGGCTCTTGTTATGTCTCTATGATCTTTACGGTATCCGCTGCTCTCGGCCCCCAAGGCTTGCTTGACCCCAAAGCAAGCTGCTGTGCCCTTTGACCACCAGAAGGGCAGCTATGGCTTCCTGGCTGCGCTAAGATCTCCACCCACCGTGAACCCGAGTTACTGAAGCCAACAGCATGCGCTAAGTGCCGGACCTAAAAGGTAAAGGGATCCCTGACCATTAGGTCCAGTCGTGGCCGACTCTAGTGTTGCGACGCTCATCTCGCTTTATTGGCCGAGGGAGCCGGCGTACAGCTTCCGGGTCATGTGGCCAGCAGGACTAAGCCACTTCTGGCGAACCAGAGCAGCGCACGGAAACGCCGTTTACCTTCCTGCTTGAGCGGTACCTATTTATCTACTTGCACTTGACATGCTTTCGAACTGCTAGGTTGGCAGGAGCAGGGACCGAGCAACGGGAGCTCACCCCGTCACGGGGATTCGAACTGCTGACCTTCTGATCGGCAAGCCCTAGGCTCTGTGGTTTAACCCACAGCGCCACCCGCGTCCCAAGCGCCAGACCTAGGCGGGGAGAAAAACCCCAAACAGTAAGCTAAGCCCCCTCTTCCCCAAAGGCGCTGGACTACTCAACATGGAACCCTTCTGGAGAAGCACAGAATTGTCAAATTGGAAGGGACCGCGGGAGTCATCTATAATAATTATTATTATTATTATTATTATTATTATTATTATTATTATTATTATTATTATTTATTAATTGTACCCCACCCATCTGGCTGCATCTCCCCAGCCACTCTGGGCGGCTTCCAACAAAGATTAAAAATACGTTAAAATGTCACACATTAAAAACTTCCCTGAACTGGGCTGCCTTCAGATGTCTTCTAAAAGTCAGGTAGATGTTTATTTCCTTGATATCCGATGGGAGGGTGCCACCACCGAGAAGGCCCTCTGCCTGGTTCCCTGTAGCTTTGCTTCTCGCAGGGAGGGAACCGCCAGAAGGCCCTCGGAGCTGGACCTCAGTGTCCGGGCAGAACAATGGGGGTGGAGACGCTCCTTCAGGTTTCCTGGGCCAAGGCTGTTAGGGCTTTAATGGGCCCCTGCAATGAAAGAATCTTTCGCCCCACGTGGGACTCGAACCCAAAACCCTGAGGTTAAGAGCCCCGCGCTCTACTGGTGGAGCTATGCTTGTTCTCCCTAGCACAGGGCTCGACTTTGCGCAATGTGTTTTGTTTTGAAATACTCACAGGATATAGGTGATGACGCCGATGCTCCTGGAACGAAGGAAGGGAAAGGAAAAGGAGAAGATCAACGTACTAGCATCGAAATGTCCCAAAAGACACAGAAACATGGGGTGGGAGATCTGCAATCCCCCCCCCAAATGCTGCTGGACTCAGCCCTAGACAATGTTAGGGATGACGGGCGCTGCAGCCTGACAACGCCTGGTGTTCCCCAGTTGACTCAACAGCCGCGCTGACGCACGGCTGAGGACAAGGAGTCAGAAATTAGCAATAAAGACAGAATCTGGCAGCAGAAAAGGTCAGCACCTGAGAGCATCTTTGGGTCCCAGCAGGGAGAAGGAAGAGAAGTGAGATTGGGGCAAAGGGGAAGTCTTTGATTTGAGTTTCTACTGAAATGCGGCTGCATTTTAATTTTGTATTTTAATCTTGTTTTTATGTTGTATTTTAATCAGTTGTATTTATACTCTGCCCTCCCCAGTCTTGGCTGGGGAGGGCAGAGTATAAATAAAATTTATTATTATATTATTATTATTATTATTATTATTATTATTATTATTATTATCACTACTACTACTACAGTGGTACCTCGGGTTAAGTACTTAATTCGTTCTGGAAGTCCATTCTTAACCTGAAACTGTTCTTAACCTGAAGCACCACTTTAGCTAATAGGGCCTCCTGCTGCCGCCGCGCTGCCAGAGCACGATTTCTGTTCTCATCCTGAAGCAAAGTCTGAACCCAAGGTACTATTTCTGGTTAGCGGAG